TTTTTTTTTTTTTTAGTAGAGACGGGGTTTCACCATGTTGGCCAGGATGGTCTGGATCTCGACCTCGTGATCCACCCGCCTCGGCCTCCCAAAGTGCTGGGATTACAGGCGTGAACCACCTCGCCCGGACTGTATTTTTATTTCATCCTTGTGACAATTCTTTACTGTAGGTTATTGTCATTCCCCTTTTTCATAGAGGGAGAGTAAAGAGAATTTGAATAACTCACCACACAGTGGGTAAATTATGGAGCCAGGATTATAGTGTGTGCCCTTACATACCACATTAATGGTAAAACATCAGTAGCAGCAACAACTTCTCACTCTTATTGGGTATATGAGATAGAGTAATGTCTTCACCAGATCAACCTTTGAAAAGAAGCAGGGACACTTACAAGGTGTTATGGCAGCAGTGGTTATACAAATGTGGTAGCTCTGAACATGTAAAACTTTGCCTAATGTTGAAGTGGCTAGTGCAGCTTCATTAAGTGCAAGGTGATTAGAGAGGGCCTGTGTGGATTTGGGTTACATAGCTGCAGGGATGTTAACTGGACAGGCACAAATAGTGCGGCTGAACAGGGAAAAAAACCCTGGAAGACTGATTGATAGCACATCCTTTTTTGGGGTCATGGATAAATCATTTCTTTGAATCCCTCTTTTTCACTTACCTAGTTCTTGGACTCCTTAATTCTTAGAACATGTTCTTTTTTTCTTTTCTTTCTTTTTTTTTTTGGAGACAGGGTCTCATTCCGTTGCCCAGGCTGGAGTGCAGTGGTGCGATCTTGGCTCACAGCAACCTTCACCTCACAGGCTCAAGTGATTCTCCTGTCTCAGCCTCCCAAGTAGCCGGGATTACAGGCATGCACCACCATACCCGGGCTAATTTTTTTTTTTTTTTTTTTGTACTTTTAGTAGAGATAGGGTTTCACCATGTGGCTAGGCTAGTCTCGAATTCCTGACCTCTAATAATCCACCCATCTCAGTCTCCCAAAATTCTGGGATTACAAGAGTGAGCCACTGCACCTGGCCTAATTCTTAGAACATTTTCTATGCAAAAAAAAAAAAAAAAGTTTATGAAAAATAAGATGTGGCTGCTTGGTTTATAAATGAATTCTTTTTTTTTTTTTTTTTTTTTTTTTTTTTGAGACGGAGTTTCGCTCTTGTTACCCAGGCTGGAGTGCAATGGCGCGATCTCGGCTCACCGCAACCTCCGCCTCCTGGGTTCAGGCAATTCTCCTGCCTCAGCCTCCTGAGTAGCCGGGATTACAGGCACGTGCCACCATGCCCAGCTAATTTTTTGTAGTTTTAGTAGAGATGGGGTTTCACCATGTTGACCAGGATGGTCTCGATCTTTTGACCTCGTGATCCACCCGCCTCGGCCTCCCAAAGTGCTGGGATTACAGGCTTGAGCCACCGCGCCCGGCTAAATGAATTCTTAATAAAAGGATACAACACGACTGTTATTTAAAGATCAACTTCTGTAATACATTTGAAATAATTCACTTGATTATATTGCAATTTTACATACATCTTGAGGAACACACAGATTATCTAAAGTAAGATTCATCTATCTAGTTAGTATTCTTGAGCAGTTAGTGAATATTACTGAGTAACTGAAGTTTAGTAATCTTCATTTTAGTTTTTCTCAGTGTGGGCACTGCAACAGAATTACTTGTTTTTTTTTTTTTTTTATAAAAATGCCTATTTTTGGCCCTATAGTCCAGATGTACTGAATGGATCTCTCTGGGAGAACCCCAAAAGTCTCAGGCAAGTGCTTGAGAAGCACTGCTTAACATCAGTCCTGATTGTTTGGATTTTTTTTTTTTTTTTTTTTGAGGTGGAATTTTGCTGTTGTTGCCCAGGCTGGAGTGTAATGGCACAATCTGGGCTCACCGCAATCCTTGCTTCCCTGATTGAAGTGATTCTTCTGCCTCAGCCTCCCGAGTAGCTGGGATTTCAGGCCTGCATCACCATGCCCAGCTAATTTTGTATTTTTAGTAGAGAGGGGGGTTTCTTCATGTTGGTCAGGCTGGTCTCGAACTCCCACCCTCAGGCGATCCACTTTCCTCAGGCTCCCAAAGTGCTGGGATTACAGGCGTGAGCCACTGTGCCCAGTCTGGATTTCTTTCTTTCTTTCCTTTCTTTATTCTTTCTTTCTTTCCTTTCTTTCTTCTTTCTTTCTTGCTCTGTTGCCCAGGTTGGAGTGCAGTGGCATGATCTCTGCTCACTATAGCCTCTGCCTCCCAGGTTCAAGTAATTCTCCTGCCTCAACCTCCTGAGTAGCTGGGGTTACAGGCCCCCACCATCATGCACGGTTAATTTTTGTATTTTTGTAGAGATGGTTTCACCATGTTGGCCAGGCTGGTCTTGAACTCCTGACCTCAGGTGATCCACCTGCCTTGACCTCTGAAAGTGCTGGGATTACAGGCATGAGCCACCGTGCCCGGCCAATTTTTTTATGTTTGGTAAAGATGGGGTTTCACCATGTTGGCCAGGCTGGTCTGGAACTCCTGACCTCAGCTGATCCGCCCTCCTCAGCCTCCCAAAGTGCTGGTATTACAGGTGTGAGTCACCATGCCCGTCTGGATTTCAGTTATGTATTTGCTTTGTCCTCCAAACTGATAATTGCTTCCAGAGAATAGTGTTCATGTCTTACTGGTTTTATAATTTACCATATTGCTATGCAC